TTAATTATGGTCAGCGATGATGATGATGATGGTAGTGATGATGATGATGGCAAAGATGTTGGGTGACCACAATGATGGTGATGATGAATAGAGCAGTTTTAACGACGTAATACGCATCATCATGTGATGGTGAACGCTGATGAAACCGATGATGCTTTAAATGTCTTACAAACACTAATAATGAAGTTTCGAAAATAAAATCTATTGTGTTGAGATGATGATATTGATAATGATGATGATGAGTGAAGTAGTAAAGCATGATGACGATAACGACGATGATGATGATGATGATGATGATGATGGTGGTGGTGATGATGACGATGATGATGATGACGATGATGATGATGATGATGATGATGATGATGGTGGTGGTGATGATGACGATGATGATGATGACGATGATGATGATGATGATGATGATGATGATGAATTGGGTGATGAAGATATTAATGAATTTTTGGCGACGATGACGATGATGTGGGAAGCAATGACTTCAACCGTGACGATGATGACGACGACGATGATGAAGATGATGAAGAGGAATATGATGATGAAGAGGAAGACGATAATGAAGAGGAAGAGGAAGATGAAGATGATGAAGATGATGAATAGGAAGACGATGATGAAGAGGAAGAGGAAGACGATGATGAAAATGATGAAGAGGAAGACGATGATGAAGAGGAAGAGGAAGATGATGATGAAGAGGAAGAGGAAGACGATGATGAAAATGATGAAGAGGAAGACGATGATGAAGTGGAAGACGATGATGAAGAGGAAGAGAAAGACGATGATGAAAATGATGAAGAGGAAGACGATGATGAAGAGGAAAACGATGATGCATTGTCCGAGCAGGCTTGCCTGTTATTACGTTGGCACATGCATGTATGCAGTTATGCCTTCGACAAATATTGCATTATTGCATTATTCCGAAAGCACACACAATCTATATTTTCACATACATTCATACACACATACATACAAATATATATATATACGTATATGTGTGTGAGCGTGTGTTTGTGTGTGTGTCTTCAGTGTGTTCGTTTGACTGTCCGTAAATGCGATCAACTAGATATTTTCAAATTTTAATGAAATTCTATGCCACTTTTTTGGTGTGTCGTTCATTCATTTATTCTCTTATTTCGCAAAATATTTTATTAACGCCTTCAGCCATTCATCCATCCATCCATCCATTCATCCATCCATCCACCCATTCATCCACCCATTCATCCACCCATTCATCCACCCATTCATTCAACTCAAATATATTTTTATTGATTAACCATTTGCAAGTTTTTGCAATTAAAAATTTAAATCCATCAATATCTGTAATAATAAAACCTTAACGAGCACAGCTGTTTCAAACAAACACATATTTTATGAATTCGTTTGAATGATAACATTTTATGAAATGAATTTGATCAGGAGAGAGGAAGAAAAGTGCAAAGAGGAAGAAAGAAAGAGTGGGAGAAAGAGAGAGAGAGAGAGAATGAATGAAAGAACAAATGGATAATAATTACATAAAAATGCAGATAGATGGAATGGCTCACAGGATGATGTTGTTTATCTAATTTATTAGATTTTGATTCTCCGGCTCACGTGACTTTTCCAGCTTCGAATGTCTTTAACAGGGATGTTCATTAACGTTTTACCGCTGTTGTTGGCCACAAATTGATTGCTCTTTATGAAGCTAGTTATCACGCGTGTGTTTCGGTGAGTATGTCTGTATGTGTGTGTGTGGTGTGTTTGTGTGTGTTTTTGTGAGTCTGAGTGTATGTGTGTGTGTGTGTGTGTGGTATGTGTGTTTCGGGGAGTCTGTCTGTATGTGTGTGTGTGGTGTATTTGTGTGTGTTTTTGTGAGTCTGTGTGTGTGCGTGTGTGGTATGTGTGTTTTGGTGAGTCTGTCTGAATGTGTGTGTGTGGTGTGTTTGTGTGTGTTTTTGTGAGTCTGTGTGTGTGTATGTGTGTGTGGTATGTGTGTTTCGGTGAGTCTGTCTGTATATGTGTGTGTGGTGTGTGTGTTATTGTGAGTCTGTGTGTATGTGTGTGTGTGTGTGTGTGTGTGTGTGTGTGTGGTATGTGTGTTTCGGTGAGTCTGTATGTGCTCGCGTGTGTGTATATGTGCTTGTTTGTGTATGTAAATATATTTGTGTGTGCGTGTGCGCGTTTGCGTGTGTATGTGGTTTAGTTATGTTGAGTGGCCGTTTTTTTATTAGTAGCATGACATTTTTTTTAATGTTACCATTGTTCCTTGATTATCATCATCTTCTTCATCATCATCGTCTTCATCATCACCATCCTTACTTTTATCATCATCATTCCATGGCATCATCATCGCTTTTATAATCATCATCACTACTGTCAGACATTTTTGTCGGCATCAAAATTTTTGGATCAATATTATCCCTTTTTTGATAACTTCAATATTTTCTTTCAAAGNGCTTGGACAACCACTGTATACGTTTGCGACAACAAAGCAAGGTGAGTTGTATTGAGACGA